CCGAGCAACAGATAGGAAGGTAACCTGGCTTCGCTTACACATGCATTCTTTAATTTTGTGATCGATCGTCTCACTATCGACTGTCATTTTGTATAACACAAATTCACAAAATTTACAAACATTGTCGTTTTATAATGAATATATTTAAATAATATTACTGGCTTCAAAGAATTTGTTTCAGGAAAGCGGAAAAGGCAACTCGTAGTTGTAACCATAACATACTGAGCAGGTAACATTGAATATTCGAATGTTTCTGTATTCTTAAAGTGCACATATTGTGAAAACTTGAACATTTTGTGTGTTACTCTAATACACAAATATACTATTATGAAAACAAACATACCATTATGACATGCTATCAGAAAATGTTTATTCTAGTATAATTACATTCACGTATTTCTCACACTGAACGTTCCACAGAACACGGTATCCTCGTCCACGGTACAACGAGACTATTATCATATCTACTTTAGGGGCGGTGGCACGAAATTGTGCGTGAAGGGGCGCGATCTTACTAGGGGGTCTGGGGCATGCTTACCCTTAAAAACTTTGAAATCTAGACACTTTCAACCGCTATTTCCTGCATTTTTATAGCCAAATTTTGCTGATACAAAAGGTTTCAGCTCAATTTTGGAGGGATGACACCCGAAAAATTTTTTTGAGGGGGCGATTGCCCAATTTTTTTTTCAACTGGGAGCAAACATTTGTTCGGCCTTAGTCTAAGGTATATTTTCACTGTCGTTCATATATATCGCTATAATTAATGCCACAGACGTTCGTTGTAGATGTCTACAACATCAGTAACTAGAATAGATCAGTGGGTTGGCTTCAACATTCGACCTTGAATGTTTTAAGCAGCAGTGTCGTACATTTTCCCGCTTTATATTTAAATTCTTCCTCCCCAGTTGTATATTAACATTCGGGGCTTTATATTAGAATGGTATAACTAAATACAAGTAGGAGATGATCAGACTCTGTACTCATCGAAACTGACAGGGGAACACTGTGGCTTTGTAAAGTATGTGATGCAAATCAAATTGAAAACGAATACCACTCCCTTTTAGTATGCCCATTTTATTCTGAATTTCGTCAATCGCATCTTCCAAAATACTATTTCAACCCTCCATCTTTTCATACATTTGTAGAATTATTAACTTCACAAAAAAACAATAAAATTAAATGTTTGGCAGCCTATGCTTATCACACATTTGAACTTAGGTGTGATATTGCTGATTTTTTGTAAATTAAGAATATTTATGTTTATACTTTTATGAGCCAATGGCCTTGAACTTGTAAAAAAAACCATATCTATATATATATAACTAGATTAATTTCATGTTTATGTAACTATATTTATCACTAATAACGTATAGGAAGGCACTTCGAAAGCAGCTCAAACCCATTTCCGTAAGAAAAATGTTTTCAAACACGCTATATTGATTTATTTTTAGATTTTATATAAAAACAAGTAAATATGATAATTGCCATCGGCTATTTATTATACCCGCTCAATAATGATTATTAAACGTAATCATCTTATAAATCCTTGCTCATACTTTCCGTATGTGTCACAGTTGAGATGAAGTTCCAGTCAGATCCCGCGAGATTTATTTTAACGTACACTGATGAAAATGTAAAAAAAAAACAGAACCGGGTAGACATGTTTACGTCCCCTTTTAGTCCCCGTGTATAAATATCAGCGTGAAACATAATTCAGCGTTTTGCATAATTTACATATTTAATCTTCAAATCTTGACTCGGAATAAAATTGCTTAATTGCCTGGTAAAATTACAATATAGGGTTAATACGAGGATACCGAAAAGTATGCACAAAGACAGTACAGTGCGAGTGTCTACCAACGCGCAGTGGAGGTCGATGCGACGGCGCACTGTCTGATAATCTTATTATTATACATCTTTTCTTCCCAATAATACAACATGGGAATGCCGAAATCCAAAAAGTTTAGAACAGATTCGCACGGTCGGAGCTAAGTCACGATTCCCCAAAGGTTGCCAAGACCAATCACAGACAGGAAAAGACAATATTTTTTTCGGATTAACACCTCTATTTTCCTCCACACTAACCAACTTTCCCCCACGTTAACCAGAAAACTCCTTTGTTCTCTACTGACTTCCTGTTCCGGTCCGACTGTGAGAATTTATCGAACTTCTTTGTGTGGGGGCTGGTTCGAAAACCTTGGGGCCATCATGTTTGTTTTCACTATTAGAGAACGCATTTCGCATTTCCTAATATGGTAGGATGAAAATACCCAGTGCAATACCGAAAAATTACAGCACGTTGTAACTTACGGCGTTACAGTGGCAGATGTATAATAATACCATTCATTGTTTGTTTGTTTGTTTATTTATATGAACATTTTAATACATTGTTTGCCATGGCTCATACTGACAAATGAAAAGCATGATTATTTCAGAATATTTTGTGGCCATTTTCGATAGCAATTTATGTGTACTTGTAGTTAGATGAAATGTACAATATTGTAAATACAGTGAGGTTATTGTCAGAGATCATGAGTTATGCGGCGTGTCATTGCTGAACAAAACCAAGAAGCACAAATGAAGACAATTTTAAGAAAAAAAAATCCTGCTCGATATGACCTCGAAAAAGGAATGAACCGAAACAAATTACAACGCCATGCTACAGGGCTAGAATTGGAAATCGAATTGAGAAAAGATCAGGAAAAAGAAAGCAAAAAAAAGAGTTGCCAAATGAACCTAGTCAAGGATATCAACAGACTGACATATGAACGCCTATACAGCAAGGGGCAAGGGTTGGATAGCTGGTACAGGTTACAGGAAATAAATTGAAAGTTCCATTTACATTAAGAAATAGGTTTTTACACTTTACAGGTAAAGCAAATTCCTAATTACATTTTACATTTTTATAATGTGTGTTTAAGAATCAAAATTGGTCACTGCGTACAAATTACAACAGTTAATGCGAAAAATGCTTTATACGCTTACACAAATAATAATTACGGACGAATAAATATAGTTGATTACATTGTACACTTTGCCCATGTCTACGAATTTACATTTTTTATTCATTTAAATTACATTATTACGAAAATAAAAACAATTGATTAGAGCTCACGAAAATACCCATTACCGATCCTCAATCAAGTAAAATATATAGAACAAAACTTTGGTCTCACAAGTTTCAAAAAGATGAAGTCACACAATGTGAAAAAGGGTGTCTGAAAAAACTAGAGACACTTTTCTTTGTCAAGTATACTGCAATGTTGCCTTAAAAGGAGAATCCCTCAAACATATGTTAAAATTGATGGAGCCATTTAAGAAATGAGAAAACTGAATATGACTGTATGCCCTTACACGAACGAATATCACCGTGAAGGTTGCTGACTCGATGCTGCACCTAGTGCGGGCCCAACAATTTAGGTGAGTACTAAAGATCTTTAATTCAAAATTACATGTTATAAATGGGAATACATTAATATCAAAAGTTGCATGACACAGGAAAGAAACAAGCACCACAGATTCCTTTACTGGTTATAGGAAGAATCTCAAAGCTCTCACTGGGCTCTCTTTTCCGGGCATCACCAACAGAAATGCATCAATACAGTGTAAGCCACTATTTTGATGGACTATGCTGAAAAAAAGGTGCAGCTTCCAAAATGTCAGATGGCAACATTGTTGAGAACCAGGTAACCATCTATCCAATGATGTTGTAGTATAAGCGCTGAAAACACCATACTGTTGAAACGTGCTATAATAGGTATACCACGTGATGATGTTAAAGACAATTATATAATAACTCGTACTTTGCAAAAAAGGCGCATTTATACGCATTTGCTAATAAGTACAGAGTATTTGAATTAAATGCCGAGATAATCAGTTCAGAAATGTTTACTCAATCTCTTGTAATTCGATAAGTACATGCCCTTCGAGGAATAGTTCAATTTGCAGTCTGTAAGTCTGATATTGATTTTTAAACAAGTTTATATATTTTTTTGCTTATGTATATATAATTGGTGAACACATCGACATTAAATTTTGTAATCGTATCAGTGGTTCATCTTTATTCTATGAGTGAGCAATTTTCTAGGGCTTCCAGTCCCACTGGTGATACAAATTGATCCGCCTTTTAAAAAATGATGTGCATTGAAAAAAAAAACCTTCGAACGCGCGTGTGTGTGTGTGGGGGGGGGGGGGGGGGTGTCGTCCGCCCTGGACTGCACACGAAACCGGCATCGTTGCGTTCCCAACGGCATGATGTCATTCCGATGGTATAATGGCATGTGCCGTAATCATCATACCACCAATGGCGTACTGCAAATGTGGACAATTTATGCACGCAACAAGTGTTGCAACTTACAGTTGCAGTTTTAAATGATTCGAGAGATACGCACCCGTTTCATTCTTGATGCCTCTGAGGTGGCAATCGCCAATACAAGCATCACTAGCTGGATACGCATCTTGTGGGCAGTCTGTTTAGGATATGTACTACGATTATCGTCTGTGTCGATGTAATAAAGTATATAACTTCCAGACACAGAGACAAAACAAAATTGCGAGGGGTCAACCTGCTGTCAATCAAATTAGCTCAGACTGATTATCGACATCGGCGCCATTTGTGTGGGAAAATAAACGGTTATGATATTAGTAGGTATGAGGTTATGTATGTGCAAAGAAATACAGGTTTCCGGTGTGTGCTAATACTCTCGCTATCGGTATTACATATATGTATGGCTCGCCTGCATAAAAGTATGTGAACGATGAATATGTGTATGAACGAAAGCAAAAGAATGAGCAAATGAATGAATCGACGGCAGGAAGAAAATAAGAAATGGTAATGGTCAACTGCACCTGGAAACAATTATGATTTCATCCAGAACTTTTTTGTTTACCCTACAGACATAATTGATGCAGGTTATTATTGACGTAATACATACTTATTATAATTTATTCATGGTTCCGATATTGCCGTGTGTATGTTTGAACAGCGTTGAACGATGCAAATGTTTCTCTCGCAGCCTAAATATCATTCGTGATGTCATCGGTCGTAATCATTTATTGATACCCTTATCTTACTATATAGTTTTAAGACTCGTCCTTGACAAATACACTTCTATTATATTTGCTATATCGTAGGGGTCGACCATTTGAAAATCTGGTTGGGGCATGAATGTTCAGGGAACACACACTCACAGGAAAATATCCAAATAAGAACAATGAAGAAAAAAATAATTTTACACTTTATATGTTTGAGAAAAAAATTGCATATAAGACCTAAGAAATCATAGATACCATGGAAATCGAATACCCCTCTAACATATCATCTGTGTGTGCTGATAGTAAATTAAGTTTTAGCCTTGTGTTTAAGTACTCAGCGTTCAATGGTTTGAAATATTTGCAACATGACACCATTTGACCTCAAATAAAACAGTTAGAAACAGGAATATTTTGCAGTCCGGAGACAGTGTACCCACACTGACTTTCATTACATCCTTAATACAATGTATTACTAAACGAATGTTGAATAACAAACAATGGAGCATGGCAAAAATGTTAGTTAATTGTCATCAGCTCAAAAGAATAGACTAGTAGTTCTATTTTCAGGCAGTAATATATCTACTTTTTTAAGCACACTCTCAAAAACAATTAACAACGAAGAATAACGAGAATAACACATATATTTATGCTCTTATGCTCATTGTTAGTGACATAGTCCCCGTTGGAATTAGGGGATATGTTATTCATGCCAACAATAATAAAAGTAATATGGACACAAAGCATTGTTGATAGCAATTAAGAGTGAATAATTGCCTGGTCTAGTATCAACAGAAATTAGATGTATTAAATGACTCTTCCAATATCGTAATATTGGTCAGAAATTAAACAGTATATGCTATTCATGCATTTTTGTATCCAAACTGAATTTCATTTGTCCAAGCTCTTAAGTGTGTGTCAGTATTTTTTTCATTGTGTTACCTAATATTATTACTTCTAACAGTGCTTTGATGTCCAGGAAATTAATGACACTTTACAATTGCTTGAGAGAGAAACATTGATCAAAAACACACTTGAACAAAGGACACGTGTATTTATAATTCACTCCACAAACTGAATATCTTGGTTATATACACATCAGATAAGCAGGATTTCAAATGTTCATAATATTAGATTTATTCAACCTAATTGTGATATGACTTCTAATCACTTATTGGTGATGTTTTAAAAAAAATACAATTCAGAGCTTGAAGAAACAAGATGGCTGCCAGTTGATCCTTTTGCATTCAAATTCGAAACGAATTATCGTGCACATATCTCAACAAGTATAAAGTTTGTATCAAATTAGAACGAAAACCAACAAATCCTGTCGTCCAAGATAACACTATTTCCAAAAATAGATGCCAGTTGGTCATCTTTGATCTGATTATGGACATGCATTCCTATATATATGATGCATGTGCCAAATCTGAATGAAAATGTTCCAAAAGCCTTGAAATAGTAGTATGGTTAAAAAGAAAGACGGCCATCTTTTATCCGATTGTAAAACAAATTGTCATGGACATGCATATAACAAATTTTAATGAAAATGACAACCCAAGTTCATGATACACCATTTCCAAAAACCAAGATGGCTGCCAGTCGGCTATCTTCGACCCGATGATGAAACGAATTGTCAGATAAAATACTGGGCGCATGCAAAGAATGAACAGATTTGATCCAAAGGGTTCCGAAATATGACTTTCGAGACTAATAGAATATTGCATGTTGTTGCGTTACACTCTCTGTAATCTAAGTAGGTATTATACTGTACATGTAATCTATGTAGGTGTTACACTGTACATGTAATCTATGTAGGTATTACACTGTACATGTAATCTATGTAGGTGTTACAAAGT